GACAGAGCCTGGCACCCCAGCAGCCCTGAAACTCCAGGGCTCTTTTAAAGCTTCTGTTTCTAAAAGATGCTGAGGTTGAGAAATGTCTCAGGGTAAAGAAAGGGCTTGGAGGTGACAAGGAAGTACAAAGTCACACATACACAGGCTAGAAATGCTAGTCTGGTCAAATCAATCTGCATGTTTTTCCCAGAGTTCACATGGACTAGTCAAGGTGGTTACCAGCATTTACATGATGGTGTATGTTTCTTATCAAAACTGATTTCAACATCTTACTAAAAGAAGTTTACCCAGAAAAACTATGGGAATGATCAACAAGTTAAAGTCAAATTTCATTAGAATGCCATGTCCAATATTTGGGATTATCCCTTACACTGCCACATCACAACTTCTCAGGTAACTTACTCTTCTGATCTTCTTCCGTTTTCTGGACCGTGGTCTTGTCTCTATCCTCTGGACACTGCACCGCACAAGTAACAGCAGGTCTTGTAGGCTGAACAACTTGTAGACAAAATTTCCTTCTTGAGGAGCTATATATTCTGATGTATCTTCAACATAGTCTTGGAGTTCATATGGCAATCCTTTAAAAACATTCCTCATTACCATTTAAAAATATGCTACTCCTTTATGCACTGTAATCTGGAATACAACAACTCAGTAACTCTCTTTGTGACTGTCAATTCTCCACCTCGGACCAAATTTACTTACTGACATTGCAGCAGAGAGCTGCAACCAGAGTTTTAAAGTTCTCTTACTTTTCACGAATATCTCCATGAGCACTAGGCAAACCATGTATCACAGTGATAAGCAGCAAGAAGAAAGAACTTAAAAAGTCCTGATATTCCCAAGCCAGGCAGACTGAGGAGCATTGGCACACTCATTCTGTAGTCTACTACAGAGGGTACAGAAGGTGTGGATAGGCTAATGTTTATGATCCCCTCCATCAGCGTAGTAGCCTTTCCATGTACATACTGGGTAAACGGATTATAGCACACATACAAAGAAACAAAGAGGACACAGTGGGAGCAGAAATAGTGATTGACAGACTGAAATGAAATGTCAGTGACTAGGTAAAAATTACGAAATGGGTTATTATTAGTATGAAAGAAGGGAGAAAAGCTAAGGAAAAGGAACAGACAAACTAGTAAGTTCTTGATATTCACTTACGTCCTTTAGGCTTCTGAAATGCAGAAGTCCAACTAGATTTTGGCCAGCTTGAGGCATCTGAAGTAACGGAGGGTTGTTCAGCGGCAGATGGCTGTTTAGATTCTTCTAAATTAATCAAGGGCAACTCAGGCACTTTCCTGGAAATTGGCTTTAAAAGCTCATCCTGCATTTTCAGAATTTCTCCAACTGGATCAAATTTTTTATAGACTCTTTTGATAGGTTTCTTTAAAACACAAGATTCTTCAGAAACAGTAGTAGTGGTCTGGTTTCCAACAGAAGTCTGCACTGAAGAATTTGGACTTGGTGGTCTAGAACCCACATCAGCTGTCTTTCCATCACTAATACTTCTACTCTCTGTATCAATGATTAAACAGTCCTCATCTGTATCACTCCCGCAAGAAATCCCTTTCTCAGTTTTAGCTGGTTCTGATGCAGTAGCTGTTTTGTTGGCATTGTCTGTGTTCCCCTGAACACCTGGTCCTTCATCATTGGTATACAGCATATCTACATCGATTGCCTTAGAGATCCCATCAGATGTTTTGTGGGGTTCATTACCTTGTGTCAAAGATTTTGCACTGACACTGTGAACCTCTTCACCACAAGATTCAAGTCCCTGATCATCTTTATTTTTGCACTCTTCAGGACCATTTTCCACACCAGAGAACAGCTGTTTCTCCTTTTGTAATTGTTTCATCAGAATCTGACATAAGCTTCTAGAATCATCAGTAATGCTTGGTGTAGCTGGTACCATAGGTGTAGCTGGTACCACAGGTGCAGGTGGTACCACAGGTGTAGGTGGTGCCACAGGTGCAGGTGGTGCCACAGGTGCAGGTGGTGCCACAGGTGCAGGGGGTGCCACAGGTGCAGGGGGTGCCACAGGTGCAGGTGGTGCCACAGGTGCAGGGGGTGCCACAGGTGCAGTTGCTACTTTGGAGGCTGTGTGGACATCTGTCAAGATGGGTACAGGGGAGTCATTTTCTGAACTTGGTGACCTGGATGGACTAGTGGTAGTTACTCCAAAGGTTTCAAGTTCTGTGACATCATCATCAAAATCCAGATCCAAATTTTCCAGAGTCTCAATTTTTCGGCACTCATTAGCTTCAGTGGATATCTTGGAAGAAAATATATTGGCAAATTATTAGGGAAAAGTGCAGGCCATAGTTACCTAATTCTTAGTGCTCTTATCCCTAACATAGTTTTTTTTTTTTGTTTTGGTTTTTTGAGACAAGGTTTCTCTGTGTAGCTTTGGAGCCTTTCCTGGAACTCATGCTGTAGACCAGGCTGGCCTTGAACTCACAGAGATCCGCCTGCCTCTGCCTCCCAAGTGCTGAGATTAAAGGTATGTGCCCCCACTGCCAGGCAGTTCATGTTTTTAAAAGTAGAAAGATGGGGCTAGGGAGATGGCTCAGTGAGTAAAGGGTTTCTGTGAAAGCACACAACCTGAGTCTGGATCTCTAGCACCCAAGTAAAAGCCAGACATAGTGATGTGTGACAGCAATTCCATTGTTATGGGAGGAGACAGGAGTACAGTGGAGGAAGATCCCAGGGACTTTCTAGCCAGCCAGTCTAGCTGAAAAAGTTAAGTCTCAGGGTGAGAGACTATACCTCAAAAACTAAGGTGGAGAGTGATAAAGAAAGACACTCGATGTTGACCTCTGGCTTCTACATGAGTACACATACACATACATGTCCCTCCTACCTCCATGTACATGTTCACACAAACACAGCAGAAAGAAAAGTCTCTAAAATGTACACAACTTACATGCAAGTAATTAATTGTAAGACGAATTGCTAAACAGTCATATTAATAAAAAACCCAGAGCCAGATATTGGGGTAAAAACTGAGAGATCAGGGAAGCAGATAGAAGCCACCACGTTCTTACCACTAGAAATCCTCAGCCAAAAAGAGCCACTTCCTGTATACTCACGTCTATATGCTTTCTGTCCCTGCCATCTCACTACTTCTTTCTGCCCAGCTACATCACTTTCTCTTCACTTGTCACTTCCTGTCAGTCTGTACAGACTTCCAGACCTCTATGGTTAACTAGTGTTGGAATTTAAAGGTGTGTACCACCATACCTGGCTCTGTTTCCATCGTGGCCTTGAACTCACAGAGATCCAGATGAATCTCTGCCTCCCGAAGCTAGGATTAAGGGTGTGTGCAACTACTACCTGAACTCTATGTTTAATATAGTGGCTGGCTTTTTGCTCTGATAAGCTTTATTGAGGTGCACAAATAAAATATCACCACGTTTAATTTTGTATTCCCCTTGAAAATGTTCATATAGACACGTGTCAAGGTATAACAGCACAGGAAACTGAATTGTGAAATGCCAGAACCAAAGAGGAATATTCACAAATGAGAAAATAGACAAGACCATCAAGAAGAGATGTAGGGTTCAACAGCAAAAGATGTTCATGCATGCCCACTTTATAAACTCTGGGAGAGAACCCTGAACTTAGCTGACCAGGAGGACAGTTTCTTTACTGCTGTAAGGCTAGGGTTTCCCTACTATCAATCAGTGACACTTTGTATATCCACTCAGGGTTAACATACTATAAGGCAAAATTGGACAGGAAGTAGCTCTTGGTATTCTGGGACATGAAGTCTTTGAAGTTGTAGTCTTTATGTACTATTTTGGTAACAGAAGAACTACAAATAGCTTTCAATTATTCAAGAATAATCTACCCTCTGGTCAAGCACCAGAGATCTCTCCTCAATATGGAAGAACTCCTCATTTTTAAAATCAACTAATTGATTTTAGGTTTTTTTTCAAGGAGGTCCACATAGTCCAAGCCTTGAATTTCTTTCTTTCTTTTCTTCTTCCTCTTTTTGTTTTTTTTTTTTTTTTGTTTTTTTTTTTTTTTTTTTTTTTTTTTTTTTTTTTTTTTTTTTTTTTTTTTTTTTTTTTTTGGTTTTTTGATGCAGGGTTTCTCTGTGCAGTTTTGGAGCCTGTCCTGAAACTCGCTCTGTAGACCAGGCTGTCCTTGAACTCATAGAGATCCGCCTGCCTCTGCCTCCCTAGTGCTGGGATTAAAGACGTGTGCCACCACCGCCTGATGCCGTGAATTTCTTATGGAGCACAGGCTGACCCTGAATTACTAAACTTCCTGCCTCCATAAATGCTGGGATTACAGGTATGCCATACCACTTTCAGCTGTTTATTTTACTGTGTGTGGTACTAAAGACTGAACCTAGAGCTACTTACATGGTAAGCAAGTACTCTACTACTGAGCTGTATTTCCAGCCCTGGCAGAGTGAGTACTTTACCTTCATAAATGCCATGAAAATCTGATTCTAAACTAAGTACACACTAGACTTTTAGGGTAGGATTTGAGAGAGTAAGTCTGGCAGAAATTAAGCAATAAGATTGGTCTACAGAAACTACCTGATCTCTCTGAACCTCACACCCAGTATTTCTAAAACAGGAATAATAAAGTTACGTTTGGATTTGTTCTAAAGACCAAATGTGAAATTATCTGCAAGGATTTTCTTGACATTGTGCCGGTACATAGTGAGCCGCCTCTCAACACATGGCAGCTCTATCTAAATGAACAAATCCAGCACCAAGGGAGACCATATGCCGCCACCAGCAGGGCAGTCCACACAGCAAGGCTAAAACACAACTGGACACAGCACCAAGAAATAGAGAAAGGAGGAGCAGAGGCAACGCTAGCAGAGTTCGGGTAAGAGACAAAGGAGGAAAAGACGTGAATGTGACAGAAACATCACCATGACGCCACTCTCCCCTCAGAATCATTTCTTCACGTTGTCGCTGGAGTCTTAGGAGAGACTATTTATTATCTCAGAACCGTCTACTCTAAACACAAGGCTGAGAAAGTTAGGCTGAAAAGTCTCGGAGATGGGTTCCTTCCACGTCACCCTTACTCACAGCTCGATGGGGCGAAAGGCCTTCTGGGAAACTGAACTCTGCCTTGTTCCCCTCATCCTGTGATACAGCCAAAGCACAGGCTTTTTTGGTTATCTCTTCAGAACTGGCAAATAGCAAGAAAAGCAGAAATGACCCTAAATGGTGGCTTGCCTAGATGCCTGCATTCCCTTCTAGCTCAGCTTTGAAAAGCCTTTTGTCTTTTTTTTTTTTTTTTTTTTGGTTTTTCGTGACAGGGTTTCTCTGTGTAGTTTTGGTGCCTGGATCTCGCTCTGTAGACCAGGCTGGCCTCCCGAGTGCTGGGATTAAAGGCGTGCGCCTGCGCCGCCGCCGCCACCACCTGGCCAAGCTTTATTATCTTGTTTTTGGTTCTTTGAGACAGGGTTTCTCTGTATAGCTTTGGAGCCTGTCCTGGAACTCACATGCAGACGAGGCTGGCCTTGAACTCAGAGATTAGCCTGGCTCTGCCTCCCGAGCGCTGGGATTAAGGCATGTGCCACCACCTCCCAGCTGCCTTCTTATCTTATTAGGGCTTCTTCCTTCCCCCACAACCATGCTCCCCACCACAAATGCTAGTAAGAAGTAAGTTTTGATATTTTGTCCAGCAATAACTTTTAGGTGTTATCAGTAATGGAAAGGTCCACCATTACCAAAGTCATTCCGTGACTTTTCATCCTTCTTAACCTACTGTGTTTCTTTGTGGCACTTTTCATCTCCTGATAGGGACCTGTCACCAGTACACATTCCAAAAGTAATGTAAAAGAATAAAACATCAAACAAGCTGGAAATGCTTTGTGATACATCATAAAAATATCAAAGTTCAAATGGCAAACAGAAAAAAATAAACATATAAAAATAAAAACAACAACAGCCTTAAAACGGTGAAAGTTAAGGGTAGGAGAATATTTTTATATCTTATTGAAAATTGTTTGATTCTTTACTTGACTAAAACTCTCTGACAATACTTACTATCTTCAGGCCTTTTTAGTCCTGAATATAAAATGGCCCCATTCCTGTCCATCTCTCTATTTCTTAACGTATTGTTTTCCCCCATATTTATCAGTACCCGCTACTTCTGCTGTGCATACTCAGCATGTATCATCTAGTACAATGTAAGTGCTGAGAGAAGTCCAGCTGCATTCTTATTTACCCATCCTCAGTACTCACAACAGAATCCACACAGTAAATATTTGTAGAATGGATCATTTTCTATAAATAAAATGTTTCACTTTAATAATCATAAAAAATTATCTTTAAGTATATATCATTAAAACCAATATTTATACCATGCCTGTCATGCTAAAGCTTTGTATGTTATAAACTTAAACTCAAACCACTAATAAGTTAATGAGATACCCACCTTACAGATGGCCTCTAATGAGAACTCATTCTCTGCTCAGTTTTGAATTACACGGTACTGTTAACTATTGGAGCCTTGTGTTACAGAACCACACTAATCTCACTTCTGTCTCATTGTGACTCTGTACCTGTTAACTCATCTCTTTCCAGCCTTCCCCACTGTTTTCCTTGGCTTCTGTGCCCACTGCTCTGCTGTCCACTTCTATGAGCATCTTTTAGATGTCACATTATACAGTGAAATCACATGGTCTTTCTGTGACTGGCTTATTAACCATTTAACATTGTGGTCTTCAGGTACCACTCACACTGTTGCTAATGACAGGATTTTCCTCTCTTTAAAGGTTTACTAGTATCCCAGTGTATTTATATATCTCATTTTCTTGATCCAGCTGCTCACTAATGGACACTGAGGCTGATTCCATATCTGGCTAATGTGCATAGTGCTTCAATCGATATAGAGGCCCAAGTGCTTTGGCGTGCTGTTCTCTTTGAAATCTATGTTTACTGGGCAGTTGCTGGAACACATGGCAGTCTTATTCTTAAGGAACTTCCCCACTGTTTTCTGTAGTGGTCGACTAATCTGGATTCTGAACAAGTGATCCACACCCTCCTCAGTATTTCTTTTTAGACAGGTCTCACAAGTCCTGCCTCAGCTTTCCAAGTCTTAGGGTTAGCAATATGAGCCACATGGCTGGCTAACCCATGTCATTTATCCTTTTTGTTATTTCCAGTCTTACTAAGAGAAGATGATACCTTATTGTGGTATTGTGTGTGTACATGTGTGGCAGTCAAAGGCTGAGGCCAAACATCATCTTCTCTGTCACTTTCTATCTCTTTTTTGAGAGATGGAGACTTTCACTGAATCTAAATCTCACTGTTCAGCTAAGCTGGCTGGCCAATGAGCTCTAAAGATCTGTTTTCTCTATGGGCCTACAAACATGCCCAGATGTACCTGCTTTTTATGTGGGTGCTAGAGATCTTTGAACCCAGATTCTCATGCTTCTACAGCAAGTCCTTTACTGACTGAGCTACCTCCTTGGTTCCTTATGGTTTTAATTTGCATTTTCATGACCATTAATGATGGTGAACATTCTTTCATATATTTGTCAACTGTTTATACATTATGTTTCAGAAAATGGTGTACTCATATCACTGTCTTGATTTTTAAATTTTATTTTAGGTGAAGGGGTTAGAGAGATGACTCAGTGGTTAAGAGCCCTTGCTGCTCTTCCAGAGGACTCAGGTTTAGTTCCTAGCATCCATATCAGGTGGCTCATGACAGCCTGTAACTCGAGCTGCAGGGGATCCGATGTCTTTGGCCTCTGAGCACATCTGCACTCACACGCACATATCCATATGCAGGCACACAAACCTACATATGGCTAAATATAAGTCTTTTAAAAAATTTTAAGTGATACATAAAAACTGGAATATTAATCACATACCATGTAATGTGTCAACACAGGTATAGTAAAGACTTTTAACTACAAAGTTTAGAGACTTGCAATATAATAGTTTATGCTCCAAAAGGATAAACAAATATACCCTAAGCAAGGGAGGAAAAGTATTACATACGTCCATCTCAGAGGTGTACTCTTCAGGTTTGTCCATAAAGACCGCAGAGACTGGGACAGATGTGTTTTTTGATATCACATGTTTTAATGGAACTTCATGGAAGATTTGATTTCTTTCTCTCATTGTCATTTGCTTTCGGGGAAGTGGTGAATTAATATAAATTACTTTAACTGGTTTGGAACCTTAAAATAGAAACAAAAGCAAGTGGTGATTAGTATCTGGTAGTTTTATTTAAAAAAAAAAAAAAAGAAAAGAAAAGAAACCGGATGGATGTCAGAAGGATCACTAACCAGACAGGATAGGGCAGTGGTGCCATGGCTCCTGCACCTGCCCCTCTTGTCCATGTCTTTAAGCCCCTTAGGACTGATGGACAGGAGGATCCAGTCCCCAGGAGAAATGTGTTCCAAAAATGCCTAAAGGTCTCTGGGCTTTAGAGCTGTACTGTTAGTTGTCTTTATTCCTTTGTTCTTTCAGGAACTAGCGAAATACATTTATACTTTTACAAAAGACTACACTTAACTCTTAAGCTGTAGTACAACCTATAGAACCGTTTTGTCTTTATAAATGAAGATTCAGTCTTTCATTTATATCTTCATGTTTAATATTATTCTGGAGGATAAAATGGTCAAATATGAACCAGACTAACAGAGCAACTAATGTGCAAACATTAATTTACTGGTGTCAAAGGCTGTCCTCTGTCAACATACTTTAATTCTGGTTCCCAATAACACACAACAAAGTCCTGGAAACTTGACCCCTGAAAACTGTCTAATAAAGTTATGCATTCCTTCATCCAAGTGACAAACAGAAGTTGCACATCTTCCATATATTTCTGGCCACCCCGAGTACAAATTTCTTCTCTATGTCTTACTCCTTAACATAACTGCAGGTACCACAGGTCTCAGCAGTCAGTTCTATTGTAACTTTAGAGCAGGAAAAGCTCTCCTGAGTCTAAATGTTACATTCTCATTCTCCTTAAACAAAGATGGAGCTCTGTGTGTGGCACACAGCCATCTATGTCTGCACAGCTGAAATGAGGTAATTCCAGCCCTTCAGAGTACATTATCTGGCATACCAAATCACAAACCTTCCACAGCTATCATCTGAACACACACTGGGATTTCCCACTGCTCCTTGTAGCTTGGTCCATGGTTATTGAGCAAGGTGAATAATGCTTGGCTAGTCAGAGCTATCTGCGGATGGTATCTTGAAACAAGCTTCTCTGCATTCGGGTCTTTACTAATATCCTGAAAAACAATTGTGTTCTGTATTGTGATTTATGCTTCATAAATAAACAGAACAATGCCCGTCTTATTATCTAGGTCACTCATAACATTTCTACCACAAAGTAATGAGGAGGAGGGAACATCACAGAAAGGATGTTAGAACAACCAGGCTGCACGTCTTTAGTGCAGTACAATTATTAGGATTATTTTAAGTTTATAGGAAAGCCACTGTGACTTACATAGTGCATAGCTTCAGCTTTCTGCTGTGGGGTCTCAATGGAAGACATGTCATCTTTTGAAAGCTGTAACTTCACAGGCATCGAGGGAAATGCTGTTTTTACAAATTTTGCACTGCCCTAAATAAGTGGAAAAACGAATGTTACTGTGAAAACCTTAATGTATTTTTCTTGCAACATAGGAAACTTAACTGAAATTTCAAATGTCAATCTTAGACCCTCCTTGGTAGTTTTGACAACCACATGCAATGATTTTGTTACTGCTATTGTTTCTAAAAAGGTCCAAAGGAGTCTCCTGGAATCTTCCCACCACTTTCACAGTTTCTAATGAGACATAAATTACAACACAGAAGAATGGGAGTGCTAAAATACCCTTTCCATATACTTATTTCTCAACTATTTGTGAATAATTTTTTTTAAATGGAGTTCCCTGATTTATTTGAGAAGTATTAAGGAAAGTGGGAAGAAAAAAAGTCAAGAAACAAAATTAGTAGCAGTATTTTAAAAACACACGGTATTGCACGTGCATCATGTATCCTAAAAATTTAAACAGTGTCTACATGAGACAAAAAGGATGTTTCGAGCCAAAGCTCCCAGTTCTCCCTTCACATTCACAGAATAAGCCTTACCAAAACAAGAAGAGTCTTTTCTAACTTCAGTCCCATCTCTATTTTGAAAGGAAAAAATCCCATTAGGCTGGTGACTTCGTGGAGAGTATAAAATTCTGGGTACTTCTTTACTTGTTCAATACAAGCTCTTAGCATTTGCTGTGAAATAGGAAATAAGAACTACTCATTTGTATTACACTTACCTAACAAATGTACATTGGTTATATATGGCTATAAATTTATTAATTTCAAAATTAGATCCATTTCACTCATCTTCTCTTCTAATAATCCACACATTCTGTGTATTTCCTATTTGATTTAATTTCTTAGTTTTCATAACACATTTTAACCTAATTTCCTAAAATAGTGATATTTAATAATACTAAAACTAGTGATCTTATTAAAATTTAAAATTACATAGAGAAGACAAGATATTTTCTATGCTTCTTAGGAAACTGAAAAAAGAAATGAAGCCACATGAAAATTTCTACACAATGTATTACATACAGTAAAAGCAACACATAAAGCTGGGGCTGGCCGAATATGTGCATGTCTGTAATCCTAGTACTTGGAAGGTAGATGCAGGAGGGCCAATAGTTCAAGGCCAGCCTAGGCTACATGACAACTTGCTCTGAAAAAAAATAAAAAAGACTAAGTACTCAAGAAAAGTATATATTTGTGATAACATTTAAGTAGCTCAGAGGAACAGAGCCATCACTGGGGAAAGTTTTGATAATTTTAAAAGCACTCTGTCATCTTTTGTCAATGGATGGTACCTAAACCTTTTAGGATATATTTTATTTTTCAGACAGGCTCTCACTGTGTAGTTCTGTCTGGGCTGGAACTCACTATGTAGATCAGGCTGGACTGGAATTCAGAGATCAAAGAGCTGCCTGCTTCTGTCTCCCAAGTGCTGGAATTAAAGGCATGTACCATCACAACCAACTAGGATGTATTTTAGATCACAGAAGTTCGAACTTTCTATCTATATTCCCTCCTTCTACATAATTATAAAATGCTTCAAGTTAAAATCAATAACTAGCTCAGCACATCTTTATTATTTAGTTTTGTGTGTGTGTGTGTGTGTGTGTGTGTGTGTGTGTGTGTGTGTGTAGAAGAAGAGGGGAGAGGGGCAGGGGATAGGAGAGATATGTATGAAGGAGGCGGAGATAGAGGCAGGGGATAAGAGAGATAACTGGGAGGAGTCAGCTCTTTCCTTCTACCATGTGGGTGGGTCCCTAGGATGGAAATCAGGTAGTCAAGCTTGGTGCAAAGGCCTTTAGTGGCTGAGCCACATCTTGTAGTTCCACATCCCATTCCTTTTCCTAGGACATATCCCTGCTGTGTTTAACACTTTCTTCTTCTTCCTTCTACATGCTATTCAGGATGTCACTCCTAACCACTGCAGGTGTGGGCTAGAACAGAAAAGTTGCTTTACAATTCTCAGTGAACTATACCTTTATTGGTACAGCCTCTTTCCTCCCTGTCTGTAGTTTAGTGAGCACACACCTCTGATGGTGCCGTTCTGTCATGGGCATTGTAAGAATTCAACAAACAAAGGAAACTAATATGTAAGCACCAAGTGGCAAGGTCCGTCCTGGTTATTTATCAGCAAATCTTGGTGAAACTGAGCCAGATGTTACAGTGCTTGCAACTGCATTCACTTAACTCAGCACTGCTCAAGAAAAAAAGAAAGGAAACCCCCTGAAGCGTTTACATGGCACCACAGTGCATTCTGTTGTCTGATGATGACAGTGCACCTTTACCTGTGGTTCAACTTTCAATTTCTGTTCTCTGCTATCAAACAAAGAATGAAAAGACTGATGGAAAATTCCAGAAACAAAAAATTCCTAAGTTCTAAACAGTGAATAATCTCGAGTAGCACATTAAATTCCTGTAGCCTTGGGTCACCAGCTCTGTCCAAACAAATTGTTTCCTCAGCAGCAACCTCAGGTATGGACTGAAGTGCCTACCTCTATATTCCGAGCGGTCATGAGTTCTACTACTTCACACACTGAGTAGTGCAGTGGCCTCTGTGTACCTGACCTGCTAAAGCTGACAGTTCCCTAAGCTACAGGGTCTTCTTCACACATTTTAGAGATGCGACTATCATTTACTGCTCAGCAGCTTAAGTAAATGTGATCTTTTACCTCTGTGAAGAGACGGGCCTCATCAGAGAGCATATTATAATCCTGTGCACATTTCTTTGCAGAATTCTGCAAAAACTTTAGGAATTCATTAACTTCTTCATTCACATGTTTTTTCATATCCTTAAAAAAAAAAAGTACACATCTTTAAATAAAGTTTCACTAAAAATATCCATTCCTCAATAGTTGCCCCAATAATTTGAAGTTCAAAGAATAAAACATCAAATCCAGAGCAGAAACCACAAAGAAAATAATTTAAAAATCACCAAATAATAATTATAAATTTGTTATTAAAAACTCTACGGAAGGGTGCTAAAGAAATGGCTCAGTGGTTAAGGGCATGGTCTACTCTTTTGAGGTCCTGAGTTCAATTCCCAGCACCCACATGGTGGCTCACAACCATCTATAATAGGATCTGATTCCCTCTTCTGGTGTCTGTAAAGACAGGTCACTCAGGCTAGAGAGATGGCTCAGGGGTTAAGAGCACCGACTGCTCTTCCAGAGGTCCTGAGTTCAATTCCCAGCAACCACATGGTGGCTCACAACCATCTGTAATGAGATCTGGCACCCTCTTCTGTGTACGTAATAAATAAATAAATCTTAAAAAAAAAAAAAAAAGACAGGTCACTCACATACACTAAATAACAAACAAACAAACAAACAAAAACCCTCTAGGGAATAGTTTACTGGCACCTTGTGGGTTTAGTATTGTGACCTTAGTACTTTGGAGGTGGGGCAGAATTAGTTGTTCAGTCACCCTTGGCTACCAAGGACTGCAGACAACTTGGGACAAGTAAGTCACTGTTTCAAAACAAAACAGTAAGAAAAAAATAGAAAACAATGGTTTACAGATACATGGAAGATGTTTGTTTCATTGGTATTCAATATATTTATTTAGGTAAAATAAGAAATCATCAATTTCCTCATATGCATCAAAGGCTAAAAAAGAAAGAGCAATGTCTAGTGTTGGTGAAGGTGTCTTCAAAACCTCTTACAGTAGTATAAACAAATAATTCAAACCATTCGAAGAACAATTTATCCATCATAACTACAGACCAAAGCTTTAAAAACACATGCAGCATTTGATCTTAAAAATTTATTTAAAAAAAAAAACTTTACTTAAAGACTCTATCTTAAAGAAACAATCACAGGGACAACCAAAGATTTTGCTAGAAAGACATTCAGCATAGTGTCATTTCTGTAATAAGATTATGAATGCAATTGATTCAAACTGATCACAGCAAGCTTGTAAAGGTGCTCTTGCTAGGATGTAAGATGAACTGGAATAAGGCCACTGCACAGCACAGCAGGTGCCAGAACTACAAAAAAATCAACAGAAGAATTAAAGTGCCAACACTGTCCCATTTCTGTGAATATGACTGTATCTAATAATAACAGAAATAAGTAATAAATTAACAATGACAAAGAAAAACGAAAAGAAATATAAAGGAGAATTATTTCCTGATTCTTGGTATTTTTACTGAAGCTGATGAATACATACCAAATACTGCAGGAATTCATTTGTATTTGTTCCAACAGCTTTGGAACTTGAGGGGATTTTCGCATATTTAGCCAACAAATCCACGTAAGCCCTCTGCTCTCTCTGTGAGAACCGAGAGAAACGAGGATAAGGAACTCTTGGTTTTGGAAGGAGAATCATCCCAACTTTTTCCTTTGCTTGAGTTGCTGAACTAACTGCAGGCTCATTTTCTACAGAACTTGCTGAGACATTCAAATTTTCTCCTATACGTCTGGAAAAAAAATACAATTTACAAATATGTGCTTTTCACATGAAGATTACTATCATGGAACTTATGATTCTCAATCAAAAGGGAGAATAATATGGCATGATTAACAGTAACTTCTGGATTATTATCTAACTCTGCCACCTGCATTTTGATGTTCAGTCATTTAGTGTAGATTAAGTATTCTGCATGAAAAGACCTCATTGTAGGCTTACCTTCAGCCACCTGATGCAGAAGGAGAGGCACACTTCAACCAGCTATTCTATTTGGAACTTTCCCCTTTATTAAAAGGGAAATCATTCTTGTGAATTATACTAACATTTACTTATTGCAATGCTATTTGGTTTTTAATGCTTAATTTCTTCAGTAAGGTATATCAGTTAAAATGGTTAACAAAGGACATTAAGAACAGAATAAAATGAGGTCACACACTTGAAGTTAATTAACTCACTGAGAGTCTAAATTTTCTGGTTTCCATTGGTTATTTCAGAACTTAAAAATAAAATTCCAATAACTGTGTTATATTTTATGGAAGCAGTAGTGATTTTAGAAAGACTGGACAATCTTTTATCTGTCATGTATATGGTTAAAGCCATGGAAATGTCTCTATGCTTTTTATGGATGTGAAAGAAAAATCACAGAATATCTATAAGGAGGTGTGTTCAAAGAGAAGGCAACGAGTAGTAGCAGCCAGAGAACCTGATATTAGACATTTGTAAAATGACACCTCCAATTTAAAAGTCACCTTACTATTCTAGTAGGACACACAAGTATAGATTATCTTGTTCATAAATTGTTTCTATCTTTGCCATTCAGTTATCCTACAATTTTAGTAAGAGAATAGAAATCTACCAAAAAACTCCACTTCCCTTGGTCTCTACAACTCTGATTTCTACCACAATCATTGTTTCTTTAACTGGGCTCCAAATTAAACAATGATAATTCATGGAGGAAAGAAAACGAATGAGAATGATGGATATCTATTGACTCACTCACTAACAGTCATTAATAATTATACTTGCTAGTGTATGCTATGTCCAAGAGCTTTAACCAGCAGATTACAGTACAATCTTCAATTGTCAGGATCTTAAACCAGTGGTTTGATGAATGAGAACGAAAACCACATCCACACAAAAGAAGAAAACTATATCCATACACACACACACACACACACACACACACACACACACACACACACACACACACACACTAATAATATTAGGTATCCAAACTAAATTTACCAAATAGCTAGCTGAGAAGAATGGTCTAGAGACCACGGATTAAGAGGGAAAGAGGGAAGGGAACAAAGGTCGCAATCATGACATACTACTTTCCTTATGGCATTCATTTCTTTAAGCCAATAGGAACATCTAACTCATCACCAGAGGGAAAGGTTGGCCATAATCTGGAGGAATACTGGATGTTCAGAACATATGACACTGTTTCACACAACTTGTAAAGGTTCTTTTTCTCTGACAGAAAAACAATTCTGATTTGCTATTACTTTGACACCACATTTATTTTTTTCTATGATTACTGCTTAGTATGTTTTATTCTGCTTCTCTTAAATACAGTCTTGTTTATTTTAAGATTTGGTGCTGAGAATTGAATCAAGGGCCTCTTATAGGCTGTACACATGCCATACCCACTGTAAATGGACCATCTTCTCAATCATTGCATTTTCTGTTGTAGGAATGTCTGTACACAGATGCACTACACAATACAGGGTAGGTATTGTTCTTTCTATTTCACATTATGTATTTAGGACATCATGCTATTTTTAAAGGTTACGTTTCTGGTAACCAGCTATCAATCTCATTTTGGGCTAATGAAGGAGGGACATTAGTTCTTAAAAATAGTTGCTATAAAAAAGTACAAAGGGCTGGACGGTTGCGCACACCTTTAATCCCAGCACTCAGGAGGCAGACCCAGGCGGATCTCTGTGAGTTTGAGGCCAGCCTGGTCTACACAGCAAGATCTAGCTAGGGCAGGCACCAAAACTACATGGAGAAACTCTGTCTTGAACCCCCCCCCCCCCCCCCCCCCCCCCCCCCGCAAAAAAAAAAGGTTTGGGCCTTATTGATAAAGTTGGGAACTACTAATTTATAATACTATAGTAAATATAGTATAAATTCCAAAGTCTGAAAATAGTATTTTAGAAAAGAGTAAGAACCTTCCTCCCTCAAATAAAGCAAAATCATTTAAAAACACTCTCAGAGATAAACTATGAATGGAAAAACTCAACAAATAGCTAATTAGTTAATGGGAAGAAAATTTTGAAAATTAAAATTGGGATGTTTAGGCTGACTCCAGAAATACAGGCAAGAGATCACATATTTAGCTCAAAGTTTCTCTGCTAACTCTATAAAAATAAGCTCGTTTTAGGTTAACAAAATGAATATTAACTGCTGATCTTGGTAGAAATGTATTACAGCAAATTGATTTCTCACTAGAATATGTCTTGAGAGCTATTCAAACCTAACAGTATTGTGTCCGCAACTCTTAACGATACTGCTTCACAGCTGTCTCTCTGAATATGAGAACATGTCTGTCCTCCTGGCACAAACTGGCAAATTTAATTAAGCTGCTGCAGCAACGAGATGCTGACTCAGATATGCCCGAGCAGGAATGTCAAGACATTCTAGCAGTGTAAATTGGCTACATGCAGCACAGAATGAAACGGCAGCACATCAAGATCATTTTCAAGTGCAGTGCTGTCAAAATCTTCATCAGGTGCAGCCACAAGTACCCAACAGCACTACCTACACACATTACACCACTGCATTTTATTTCAGTTGATAGTCTGAAACTTCCTCCTTCATTTTGTCAACCATCATTTTCCTTTTTATTTCAAGTTGCTACGAAATAAAGGAATGTTCCAAACTGTTAGTTTGCTAGACTCTAAGTTGACTAGTTTGGCAGTTTCTTTAAAAACCACATTTGGAGATATTTCTGGGCTTTATCTCAAAATCTATTTGAATCTTGGAGTTTAGTTTTCTTTTATATTAATCAGTTTACAGCAATTATTTCTCATCTTATTCAGAACTATTTAGTAACTTGGCTTAAAACTCAATTATAAAGACCTGTAACTAAAATGCTTAATTTTAAATAAAGGCAGGTGTTTATTTCTACATGAATAACTCTTTCTAGGAAAAAAAAAATGCCATATTGACTTTCTACTTCATTCACACTAACTTTTAACATCACATTATTCTGATGGGACTTGCGTCTTACAAGCATGTGTAGAGTACAACAGTCTAGTGAATGCTTTTTATACTGAAATTAAGAGCAAAATGACTTTTGGTGATGTGATGGGGTTGAATAAAAATTTCACAGTTTTGAAATCAACACAATTCCAACATGCTAGAGAATACAAAAATTACTCTATTATGGATAATAATGAAAAATGTTTTTTCCAACAAGCAAAGTTCTAAATAACTAAACCCCCAAATCAGTTCTTTGCTGTAACAAAAAAAATCTAGAAACACATATCAATGCTTTGTGCTTCTCTTTTACATTAAAATGTAAATTACACTAATAAACTGTGCTGTATTAAAAAGTCTAAACACAGGAAGCATATTCTAAGAAAAAGATTTTAGTTTTTTTTTTTAAAGGCTAACTTCCAGAAAAATATCCTCTCCTTTATATAACTCATGCCCAAGAAATGCCAAGCAAAACTATACTTCCAAAGAACCATTAAAGTAAGAAGCGGTGGGAGAATGAAGACTAATATCAAAGCCAGGCATGGTGGCCATACCTGCAATCCTAGAACTCAAAGAGGCAGATGCAGAAAGATGAGGGTAGGTCTAAAGAGTGAGCTCTGGGCTAGCAGAGTTACATAAGGAGACCTTGTCTCAAAAAGAAGAAAAAAAAAAAAGATAAAGTTAGAAATTTTTATCCTGAAATGATGACGACTAGGACAAAAATCCCAATGAAATTTTATGCAGCTGTTAAAAAAAAAAATCAGAATATCTACAAGAAAATGGATGCAACTACAAATTATTCTGTTAAGCAAAGTAAGCCAGACTAAGAAAAACAAATGATGGCCTTACATTGAAAATATATGTTTGTGTTGAACTTAATTTGGAAGTGGAAAATCAAGAGAATAACAGAGTACATGCAGTAAGAAAGCAAAGGGTTATTATCTGGGGGAGAAAGGGAAACAGCTTAGGAAGTAGGGAGATAATGAGTAGAGGGAATGAATGAGAACACAGTATAATGGAATATGTGGATGAAGATGCCACGATGGAACCCATTATTTTTGTATGCTAAACTAAAACATGAACAAAAGAGGGGGGAAGTCCCCAAATCAAAACTAAAGAGTTTAGGAAAGGTGCTGGGAGAGAAGAGGATCAGAGCGCTTTCAATAACCTCTCTCCCTACAAGACACATGCACTCCTTGCAGCTACTTGAGATCATTCCTGGAGGAAGGAAGAAGCTTCCAACAACTGGAATGAGAAAGCAGGATCCTGGGAGAGAGCATGCAGCAGACAGAGGCCTGTGTTCCTTGGAGCCTCTGCTATCGCCTAGTCTGTCATCATGAATCCTAAAAGGGACTGGAGAGATGGCTCACTGGTTAAGAGCCCTGGCTGCTATTGCAGAAGACCCAGGTTCAGTTTCTAGCACTCACATAGACAGGTTCACAACTGTCTGTAACTCCAGTTGCAGGGGATCTGATATTCTCTTCTGGCATCCACTGGCACTGTACATCCGTGGTACACAGATACGGCAAAACACCCACACACATTTAAAAAAAAAAATCCTCAAAAGCCTTGGAGAGAGAACCTTAGGAAACTAACATGTCAATTCACATTTATGGGTCCAGTGATTTTGTACCTTTTCCTGATACCATAATGTATATAAATTGATATTAAACAAATAAATAGATGAAAAATGAAAAAAACAACACTATGCTACTTTAAGGGAAGGAGTACAAATGTTAGTTCACTTTGAAAGGCATCCAAACAAGGTGTAATGACACAGAATAGAGTTAAAGGTAGATGAACAGATAAATGAATTTAATAAAATGTTCACAGAATCCAAGAATTGGGTATAATGGTAGTCCCCGCTGAAGTTCTAATTCTGCTGTATGTTTGAATTTTTTTCTCTACAACAATGTGCTCTTCCATAAGTTCTGTTATTTTTGAGTGAGTTTCTACTTAGCTTGTCCAGACTTAGCCTTGTCCAACTAAGAGTGAGGACTTGAACAAGGTAATTGGCAAGGTGTCTTCGAGTGCCCAGATTCTTTCATACCCAGTTCCTCTGTGACTGGGAACACAAGGTGACCACACTGAGCAGTCATCTACATCAAGACTTAGCCCTGCCAGCATGAACAGCTAACTTTTCTCAGTGTGACAGGTGGGACTTGGTGTAAACCCAGGCAGTAACACTGCGGGCTCTGGCTCCAAAACGGGTGCTGACACGTGAGCTACTGAAATCTGATTGAAACCAACCACCTCTTAATGTGATTGTGTGGGCATTTCCCAGAGTACCGGGTATTGCTTCAGCTGTTCTCAGGCATCACATGGTCCATTGTCCTAACCTGAGCACTTGTGTGTAGAGGTCTTCCCGAGCTCAGTTGGCTACTCAAATCTCAAGTTAGTCTGTCAGAGATCCTTGTGTTGCTCACAGGTTTAAATAAACGACATTAAGGAGACTGGTGTCAATTCTATTTCAAGATTTTTGTTTCAGATTCCGGGCTGTGGAAATTTTTTTCTTTAGGAAAATAAAGCCAATGGTTGTATACATAATTGCTCCTGCTTTTCTCTATTAAGAGTACATCATACTTCATCATAACTGGGTATTGTGCTCATTGTTAGGTATGGGGCAGTCATCTCAGGGCTGTGCCAGGTAGCACAGTCACTGCTAGATGTCAGGCTGAGTTATCATTTGTATTATTGCTGGGTCATGATTTAGTGTTCTGTTTAAGTAACTAACTGGTGGCTTACTGAATTATTAGGTATTTTTGTGGAGCCACTGTTGGAGATTTTTGTTGAGTCTCCATCTAGCAGCTTTGCTGAATTATTACTGAATGATTTTGCTGAGTCATCTTTTGGAAATTTTGTTAAGTCACCTTTGGGCAATTTTCTCCAGATTCACTACCTGGATTTCTGCTGAGCTGTCCCAGAGCACTTCTGTCAAGTCACCCTTGGGGTTTTACTGAGCCACCATTCAGCATTTTCTAAGCTGTCTTATGTAGGGTTTCTATAGCTGTGATAAAAAACACTATGACCAAAGGCAGCTTGAGGAGGAAAGGGTTTATTTCAAGCTTACAATTTCATATCACAGTTAATCACTGAGGCAATCAAAGCAGGAACTCAAAGAGGACAGGAACCTGAAGGCAGATGCTGATGCAGAGGCCATGAAGGACTGCTGCTTATTGGCTTGCTCCTTATGGCTTGTTCAGCCTACCTTCTTAGCCCACATCAATCATCAATCAAGAAAATGTACCACAGGCTGCCCATAGGCCATTTGGGGGGGCATTTTCTCAACCAAGGTTTCCTCTTCCATAATGACTCTAACCTGTATCAAAATGACATTTAACTTGCCAGAACACTGAATTACTTGAGCTTTTGCTGGGCTATCTACTTGGTGTTTTTGCTGACCCATTGTTTGGAGGTTTTGCTGGGTCACCACTAAGCATTTCTGCTGAATCCTCAGGCATTTTTGTGGAGTCACTTGTGAATGTTCTGGCATATCATTTCTGGGCACTGCGCTGAGTCAGCACTTCCCTGCCTCCGTTGCCTGTCAGCACTTGCCTGCTTCCCTTGAAATTTTGCAGGCAAGTTAGTGTCCAGGTGTCAGGACCCTTGGCAATTCTCCAGGGCCATGGTTTGAGCATATCACCAGACCAACCCCAGACTATTTCTCCTTTGACCTTAAGAACATTTCAGATAAAAGGTAAAGAATGTTGATAAACATTATTTGGTTTAAATAATCAAAGGTACTGAATGATTGGAAAGTTTTATGAAATTAGTTATCTCTAGGAAATGATAAAAATTGAATAACAGTAACAATTTTTTTTAAAAAATCTATAAATGCATACATATGTGAATCTTAACTTTCTAAAGCTTACACTACCAAAAACCATTAATTAAGACTTATTTTAATGCTTTAAATAACAATCTGGCAATATCTATCCAAATAAAAGCACATATATGCTTTAACTAAGAATATATCATCTAGATACATGTACAATAATACATACTACCATAACTCCTATTATATAAAAAGGAGAGTATTTTGATGTGTACAGTACAAGACACACAAACACACACATTTATTATAAACTAAGTCCACAGAAGCATCCTTGATTCTCAGTGGTTTGAATTCAACAGACTAGGTTGAGGGTACAAAATCAGTACTTCTTAAAAGCTTAAAAGTACATCTAATGATGAGACACTGTGAGAAGCATGAAGATGAAGATTGTGAAAGAATTTGAGAACTACTACAAAAACCAGAAGACTGGGAAGAAAGCTGAGTGGAAGAGCTCCACAGTCAAAAGCTCACTGATAATGCCAGAGGAAAAGTTTCAGAAAGCAACTTTTTCCTGTTTTTTAATTCAGCTGCTGATTTGGCTTTTCATTGAGAAGTCTTATCTACCTATACTTAAAATAATTATTGCTGTGAAGGACCATCACTGTTGTGTTATATTTTCTCTATGCCTGACATATTTTTCATCCCTTACTTCATGTCAGCACATAGACACCTCTAAAGTAGTGAAAGTCAGATGAAAGAAGCGGGAACAGAAAGGACCATGGAGAGAATTATTTAAAACAGAACTCGCGGTATTTTCAGATGTTGATCAAAAGACTGAAAGCAAGAGAAAATGAAGACAGAAGAGTCAGTAGGGTATCTGACTGAAAGAACCCTGAGAAGGCAGAAAGAGATGGACAAACGCAGTTCTTCCCCTGTGAAAGCTAACAGGGTTGCAGCAGAGCCAAACTCCTTTGGAGCGGCTCCTTACTCCACATCTCTGGTCTCCAGAGTAACCCACGGGACACGAGACACAGTCAATCAAAAAGGAACCAGAGCTGCTACAGGTGTGTGAGCAGGAAGGACTGGACATTATCGCTGAGCAGTCATTTTTACACCACAGAAGACAAAATTCCTTTTGACTATTTGATACTATCTATTAAAATATAAAATAGACACATAGTCTGACTAAATTTGTATGACTTTACCATACAGAAATAACTGCAGAATTTAAAAAAAAAAAAGTTCCCGCACAGGACTTGCTATAGGAATTTAAAGTACACATATAAAGAATAGGCAATTACTAATTAAGATTAAAGGGAAATATTATATGTGTGCATGGAAATAAATAAAAACACTGATTTTTTTAATGATAAAAGTAAATTATGAAGTTTTATGGTGTTCTGAGGTAATTACAGCTATGATCTCATTTTATGTATATAAATACACAGCCATACATGGAGAAAGGTAAATATCAAAATGTTATCAGTAGCTTTCTTCTATTTTCTATTTTTCACATTTTTATAATTTGAACGTTTACTAATATAAATAGTCATAAAATTTCAACTATCAGAAAAACAGCAATGAAATGTGAAAATAAATAACCAAATGAACATTACCTGTTAGACAAAATATAGAGTTCTTTTAAGCTTGGAGCCATGGAATGATCTTTGTAATTTTCGGGAGAGAAAAATGCTTTAAGGCCATTTTTGGGTGTAACATCCCTGTGAAATAAAGTAATTTACATGCATGTGACAATTCAAAATCTCATGTTAGACAAAGCAGCATAATGCTACAGCTGTAATTTATGACCTCTACCCCAACTTTTCCCAGACCATCACCCCTATTCAGTTTAATTTCATGTGCCAGATCCTGTGTGTTTAGATATTCTATTTCTTGGATAGCTTTAAGCTTGGGGCAGTATGAGATTCTTCAGTGCCAACAGTCTGTTTCTCTATGGTACACAATTAAACTTCAGAAACTTGAACATTTAAGATGGAACAGAAAGAAGTATAATCAAGGGTCTGTCAAGAGACCAGGCTCATTTCTGGCCATGAATTGTAATGGTAAAATATTTGATGACAAAAAAAAATGTGGCTCGACTTGTTTTTGTTTCGGGTACTATTGTGCCAAATGAAAACACTGGCTACCCACCCTATTTATTTATAGCTTTATCTGATTTTGTTAAATGAAGTAAATGATGGGTGTTTGCTAAAACCACCTCTAAAGTGATGAGTTTCATAACATCAAAATTAGTTTGAGACTAATATAGTCAATGCTGGTTAAATCAAAGAAAAAAACTGAAAATACTGAGGTTAATTTAGGGAAGACACTGACCAGTAGGACTCTGTGGGAAGAAAGAGCTCCAAGGTCTTTAACACTGCAAAATTAATTTTGGTTTCACAGTGCCAGAGGTGTGCAGGAATATCTGCACAGCATGTGAACCACATGTTATAGTACTAGGAAGGATCTTAAATGATTCAATACAGGCTGGGCATGATGAAACACACCTTTAATCCAGCACTCAGGATGCAGAGGCAGGTAGATCTCTCTGAGTGAGCTCCAGGTGAGCTAAGGTTACTTACACAGAGAGAGACGCTGTCTCAATCCCCACCCCCTCCAAAAAAGCCCATTATAATTGACACCGATATGTTATGGTCAATACTGCTTTAGTGAAAAATTAAAAAACTTAAAATGCTGAGAACAATTTCAGCACCTCTCCCCCACAAGAAAACAATAATCATAAAATGAAATTATAACTAAGAATCTGGGTGCTGAGTTATTATTTTAGGAGTCGAAATTGGTCAGCTATAACTCAAAAGGCTTGGAATATGAATAGGGTAAATTCTGAGACCCTGAAATTTTTTTTTTTTTTAAAAAACACAACAAACCTCTCAAGCCAGAAATCTTCCCTTCCTAGGATACCCACCGTCCCTGCCTCACTCCTCCAGAGTGGATTAGGAGGAGGTCCAACTCACCAGTTCAGTCTCGGTTCACTCATGGTTATGCTAGAGCTCATCTTCCTAGATTTCTCCTTCACTCTAGCTCACAATATTTCAGCCTGGCAGGGAAGGCTCCAAGAGAATGAGGATCGGATCCTTCCTAGAGTCTACATTCAACTGAAGAAAAACAAAAGGTCAAGATGAAACCGAGATTATTAACTCGGGCGGGAAAGAACCTTAGCTTAACATCTACCCTCAGTGGACTAAAACCAACAGCAGAACGTTGGCCCGATTCTTTGGAGGGGTCATTTCCCTTTAACTCAGCAAGGAGTGTTAACTGGGGACATCAGCTGAGTCAGCAAGACCCCAGACCAGAAGGGTGTTCTCGCTTTGTTCACACTATGGCAGACCTATGCCTTAGCTTTACCTTACTCCCTCACTACCGTTTTAAATCTTGTTTCCATTCCCTTCCGGTCAGATTACACTGTTGTGGGGGGCAGATCCAGACACAATGCACAGAAATGCAGGCGCTCTGGCTCCCAAGGACCTTGGATCTTTCAAAGCCCACTTTGCATGTATGAGACCTCAGGGGCTGGCAACTGGAGAGAACCATTCACAGGCACCCTTCGAGGTACCATCAGACACACAACGAAAGCTGTAGCTTGATGGAGTTAAGAATCAAAGGCAGGAACTGGCTTCTGGGCGTCTGTGGGGGTCTCGGGGGCTTCCTTCTCAACCCACCTACCCCACGTTTCCCCTTTGAGTGGGGCTGAGGGGGAGGGGAGGGGGCGGTGAACGCCGAGGGAACTGAGCGGGAGGCAAAGACGAGAAAGTATCGGGAAAGGTAAGGGCGAGACGAGCGAGGAGAGCCGCCCAGGAAGGCCTGTGAGGCGAGCCCGGTGAGGCGCAACCTCAGACCCGGGCCGCCATGTTCCCTCTCCCGCCCCTCGCGTCCCCGGCGAGCCCGAGTGAGTCCGCGCGCAGCAGCAGCCGCCGCCGCCTTTCCGCCCACCTCAGGGTCCCAAGCGGCTCTGGCCCGGGGAAAAGCCGACCCTTGTACACACGCTTCGCCGAACTCCCTGCCGCGCGCCCAGGAAGGCCTCATTTAAAGGCCCCGAGGGCGCCCGCACGGCCGCGCGTGATGACGTCACGCGAGCGCCGCGGGAGGGGCTTGTGTGCGAGTCCCCAGAGAGGAGGGACGGAGGGGCGGGCCGCAGGGAGAGTGTCCAGAGACCCACACAGACCGACCGACCGACCGACCGGGCTGTGACCGCAGGCTTCCCTAACCCTGAGCCTGACTCTTAATTAGTTTTTAATGTGTGTTTTGTTTCCGAGATGGGGGGCGTCTCAAGTAGGCCAGGCTGATCTTAAACACCGTAAGTAACACAGCCAAGGATGATCTTGAGTTTCTCATCCTCCTGCCTCCACATCCTGAGTGTTGGGATTACAGACGTACACCACCACATCTCATGTATATGGTGTTGGGAAGGGAACCTAGTCCTTCAGGATGCCAGGCAATCACTCTACCACGTTACATATTCAGCTGTTTTCATCAATTTTTAATACGTACATGGGGGTTTTGGAAAGGTCTACATAAGACAAAAGAATGAAGCTGTGTTTAGCGTATTACTCAACACATAGTAGGCCCTCATTACACCCAAATTCTCCATTCCACTCACTGACCCATTTTAGATAGATGCCAATGGCTGTTAATGGGCTCTCGTGTTTCTCACACTAGTCTTGCTGCAGTTCATAAAGAAAAGATGTATTGAGCACGTATACTTCGTGTTTGGCGTTGAGTTCACAAAGAGCCAAGACTAAATCCTGTTTTCCAAGAACTTTTGATCTTGGGAACTCTAAAGTCTCCTTGATTAAATGAAACAAAAAAAGAAAGTGGTGAGCGACTTAAGAAACGTGTTACTGAGGCTGGAGAGAGGAGGGCTCAGTAGTTAGGAGTGTTTGTTGCTGCTGTTCCAGAGGACTCAAATTCAGTTCCCAGCACCCACATCAGGTGGCTCACAACCATTTGTAATCCAGCTCCAGGGGATTTGGCACCCCCTGCTGGCCTCTGTGGGTACCCACACACATGTGGCATACACACAGAGGCACTTAAATAAAAATAAACCTTCTAAGACAAGGTGTTATGAATTAGATTATAAATATCTCCTGAAGGTTATATGCTAAGGGCTTGGTCACCAAGCCTGTGGAGTTACCAGGATATGGTGGGTCCTTTAAGAGACAGGTTCTACTTGAATTTAGGTCATTGAGCACATAAACTTTATGTTTGGAGTTGAGTGCATGAGGGACCAAGTCTGCATACTGAGTTTTCCAGAACTTTTGACCATTGGGAGTCAGTGACGGAGATACTAGGTTTTAGCTCCTCTTCCCCTCTTTTTGATTCTTGGTTACCTGGATGTGCAGAATTGTGGACTGCCATGTGCTTTTGGACACTGGGTTCTGTTTCACCATCGGCCCAGAAACGAGTCAAATGGCCACAAACTGAAAGCAGGAGGTAAATATAGCCCTCCCCTCTACTATATCACAGTGACAGGATCAACCCAACGGTGCAAGGAGGACATTTTGTGAGTTCGGAGGAAGGAAATGGCTAGTGTGAGGGACTGAGAGTGTCTTTGAAGAAAGACGTGTATTCGCTGTCACGGGATGGGACATTTTTCCCTTCTCCACAGTTGATCTTTCACCTCACAGACCAAAGAGCAAGGGATCAAGCTGATCTTGAACGGAAACCTCAAAATAGGAAAGTCTTTCCCCCTTTTAACTTGTTTGGGTCTGGTATGTTATCATAGTGATGGAAGTAATTTAACATGTGTTGTTGCTAAGAATCCAGATTATTGTTAGCATTATGCGCTGGCCTGGTGTATCTGAGTCCTAGTAAGGGCAAGACGGTATATAGAATGACACTTTTTTAGGATCAGAAATCACTCTGGATATTGTTTCGTATAACCCTTTTGTGCCCAGACAGTCAACTCACCTTTTACCATCCCATGACCAGTGAACGAAAACTAAAAAGATGGTCTCATTACTTCGGACATCTGTTAGGCACTGAATGTTTACCGCCCTACCCATTCATATGTTGAAGTCTTAACCTGCAGTGCGATGGTTCTTTGCAGTGAGAACTTTGGGAAGGAATTCAGTATAGCTGGGAAACTATGTATAGCTTATAAGAAAAAGAAGAGAGACAAGATATTCATCTCCACCATGTGACAACATAGCAAGAACGCAGCCATTTGCAAACCAAGATCCTACTTGGCCAGTAGCTGGGCCTAGAATTACCAGACTTCTGGGAAAAAGTTATCTATCTATCTATCTATCTGCCTATCTATCTATCTATCTATCTATCTATCTATCTATCTATCTATCTATGGACAGGGTCTATCCTTGTAGTCCAGGTTGGATGGAGCTTGTGTTTCTCCTGCCTCAGCTACCCGAGTACCAGGATTACAGGCCTCTACTGCTGATACTCCCCACTCCATATCTTTCCTTGTAACCCACATCATTACTTACTATTGGCCTTTTCATTTTATATATTTTCCAGAGATGTGTTCACTTTTTCCTACATTTTCCCATTTGTTAACATAGTTATAAAAATGCTTTTTGATGTTACTTTGTACTTTTATGATATCAGCTGTAATCTGTGCTCTCTCTTTCAGTTTTACTCATCTGCATCTTCCTCTCTTCTACTTGCTTGAAACGTCTTTCTATCTCTCCCTTTTTGTTGTTTGTCTTTCCTGGTGTTGGGAGTTTCTCATGGACAGCGGATGTTGGTGGCTTTTGTTTCTTTTGCTGTTGTTTTGATTTTTGATTTGTTTCTTTTTCTCTTTCTCTTCCTTCCTTCCTTCCTTTCTTCCTTTCTTTCTTTCTTTCTTTCTTTCTTTCTTTCTTTCTTTCTTTTCTTTTCTTTTTTTTCCATTTTGTTGTTTTGAGACAGAGTCTCCCTATGTAGCCTTAAACTCACTATGTAGCCAGGATAGCACCGAATTCACAATCCTCTCAGGCACTAGGGTTATAGGCATAGGCATACATTACCATACTCCAATAGCCTGTATGCTTTAATTGGAGAATTTAGTTTACTTGCATTCAGAGATTTTATTGAAAGATGCAGGGTTATGGTTGCCATGCTGTTGATTTTCCTCTAGTTGTTTTGAGAACTTTTTGTTTCCCTCTTACTCACTCATTTTTGTGATATGACGGTTTATTGTGGGACATAAAGACAATGTCGGATTCTAGATCTCTCTTGTGTGTCTTCTATTCTGTGTACCTTCTTCCTTTCACTTCTGAATCCCCCATGAAGTAGCTGTTGTAAGGCTGGTTTGGTAGCTCTGAAGTTCCTCAGTTTTTGCTTATCTTGGGAGATCTTTGTTTCCCCTCCACTTCTGAAGGATAGCTCTGCTGAGTGTAGTAATCTTGACTGGCAGTTGTTTGCTTTTCCGACTTGAAATATGTCATTCTGTGCTCTCTTTGCCGGAGGGCTTTTCCTGAGAAATCTCCTCTTAACCTAATGGGGCTGCTGTTAAATGTGATTTAGCACTTTGGAGACTTTATGGTTCTTTTTTGTTATGTACTTGGCTGTTTATTGATTTATTATTGTTGTTGTCCTGAGGATTTAACCCAGGGCCTTATGTATGTTAGCCAGGCACTCTAGCCCTGAGCTATCACCCCAGTGCTGGCCTATCCTTCAGGATAGGTGTAATGGTGAAGATCCTTTCTTGTCATGTCTTTTTGGGGGTTCAGAAGTCTTCTGTACGTGGCTGTCCATGCTTTTCTGAGGCCAGGGAAGTTTTCTGTTAGCATTTCACTTAATGAGTTCCCTCTACCCTTAAACTTCATTCTCTTGACTTGTGTATGGCAATGATGGAAATGTTCGTTCATTCGATGGTATCCAAATTTTGAATGTTCTCCTTTTTCTTTCTTCTTTGGCTGAATTTGGTATTTTGAAAGGTCTGTCTTTAAGTTCTCATGGTCTTCTTCCACTTGATGTGTTCTGTAGTTGAGGCTTTCAAATGAATTTTCTAAAAGAAATTTATTTAAACAATTTTTGTTTGAGGTTTATTTGTTTTATTTTATGTGTATAAATGTTTTGCCTGCATGTATGTCTGTGCACCATGTGTGTGCAGTGCCTGTGGAGTTAGGAATGTTTGAGAACCACCATGTACATGCAGGAACAAGTGCTCCGAACTGTTGAGCCATCTCTCCGGGCATTATTCATTATTTATTTTAATTTTAATTTATATGTATGTTTGGCATGCACACTCGTGTGTGTGTGTGTGTGTGTGTGTGTGTGTGTGTGTGTGTGTGTGTACTATATACATGCAGTGTCTTCAGAATGCCAGAAGAGGGTGTTGGATACCCTGCAACTAGAGTTACAGGTGGGTTTGAGCCGCCACATGAGTGCTCAGAACTGAACTCAGGTCCTCTGCAAGAGCAGCCAGTGGGTGCTCTTAACCACTGAGCCATCTCGAAACCTCAATTGAACTTTTTTTTTTTTAAATTAGACTCATTCCTCATTTTCAGTATTTCTGTTTGGTTCGTGTTCAGAACCAGTTTTCACTGATTTTTCTCCTTCATATTTCACACTGCCTTCTAGTTCCACTCAATGGTTTAATCTGTGTTCTCTTGGACTTCTTTGAGCTTTTCAAGACTATTCTTTTTGCTGTCCTCTCAAAAGCATGTGATCAGTGAAGGTCAGGGACAGCTGCTACTGTGCGTGTGGCTAGGAGCAGAATGTCAAATCCTACCTACAAGTGCATGCATGGGCACTCAGTTCACTGCTCGCTCGATCTCCTTCTTTCCTTTTTTATTTATTTTTTCAAACAAGGTCTCAGTCTGTAGCCCCCTCGCTAGACTGATATTCAGTTTAAAACTCAAGCTGGCCTCAAATTTGCAATCCTCCTGCCTCAGCCTTCTAAATGTTGGGATTATAGGCAGACTTCAACATGCTGAACAGTCTCTTGAGTGATTTCAGTTGTAGTGAGCCAATGGGGTGTGGCCAAAGTTCCTTCCCAGGCAGTGAGTGTATGCAGGGTCTCTGACAGCGAGGTCCCTGCTGTTGCCCAGACTGCTTAGCCCACTCCTTTGGGCCTTGGGACTACAGACTTCTATCCCTGTCCTTTATGTG